ATTTCAAGTGAATTTTACTGGTGTTTAATAGAAAAATTATAATTTAATTGTATCAAAAATGATGCATTATGCAGTTAGTAGGTCCCGTTTGTACACTTTCACTATTAAAGTAGGCTCATATGTTATGTAATTGTTATACGTTTTTCCCTCACTTTTGGAGCATGGAAAAAATAAAAATAAAAGATAATGAGATCGAAGACCGTTAGCAAAATTGGAAGGTGGATTATGAATTAGATTATCGCCCAAATATTGATGAAATACGTGTTAGTTAATTTTTTTACAGGCGACTTGTATACAAATAACATAAGAACATCATCAATGTATTCGAAGTCAATTAAACACGCAAAGAAATATCTGTGGCTCATCTGTGGTCATGTACGCTACTGATAATTCGCTTGCAGAAAGGGCCACATTGCCAGAAACGACACTACCAGGAATAATCCGCTGGAGGACAGCGGTCTCAAGCTTATAGAGAGAATATAGTACTAAAGTAATTTTACAAAAATATAATTTTTTATAGTATAAGGGTAACATACGTACACATATTTCACCTAATAGTAAGTGGTTGCTGTGACCTATAGACATCTACATCTATCCTCTATAACAAAATGCAGATGCACTTTAACCCGCGAGGACAACGATGGATGTCTCTTTTGCAGTAAAAGGGGTCTCCGGTTCTCTACACTTACGAAACGAATCACAGTAATGATAACTTGCTATTTGGTTGCTCTGATATTTTGTGAGAGCGTGGTCCTTCTCCGGTCGAGCCGACCCATTCGTGCCACAACTATACCAGTTATATAACTACAGCACGGCTCTATCACGTTATATTTTAAAATTATTTGTAATATTAATTGAGATCATCCAGCTTACTTTTGGGTACAAGACTTTAAATGTCTGCTGACACTTACGAGTATTTTAAGTAAATGGTACTTTAATGATATCTTATATTTACGCGAACACTACACATTGAAATAATACTAGTTTTTACGGAATTTATCGCGTATATTTAACATTTTAAATACCCGACGTTTCGAACGCTTTACAGCACTCATGGTCACGGGCAGGACTGAGATGTTCAACGTCCATATGTTATAGTTAACCGCGGTTACCATAGATTAAAATTTAACTTTTGTTCCGATCTATGCAGTATGAACTTATGGTATCTTGAAGTCTTGCAGTTGTATGCTTGGGTTGGGATTTACTTTTATTTATTATAGGATCCCAAGCAGATGGTAGCACCCAGCCATCTTCTCTATTGAAATTAGGATGTTTTTTGATTTCAATAGCCTCGCGAATCATCCTTGGAAGGAATCGGTGTTCTTTAGCGAGGATCTGCGGTCTATCAAATCTGATGTAGTGACGGGGGCGATCCTGTACGTGTTCACAGACTGCAGACTTCCCGGAGCGTCGATTCTTCACATCAGCTTTATGTTCTTTAACGCGGGTTTTTATTGATCTTTTAGTTTGTCCTATGTAGGAGAGACCACATTCACAATCAAGCTTGTACACTCCTGCATCTTGCAGAGGGACATTACACTTGACCGATGGTAAAAACTGACCAATCTTCTTCAGCGGCTTGAAGTATGTTTTGATGGAAGCACGCTTCAAGATATAGCCAATCTTGTCAGTGACTCCTCTAACATATGGCAGTACAGCAGGCACACGTTCGACTGCGGTCGGCTTCACTCGTTCACTGTGACGTAGGCGCGGGACTCGAAGCATGTTGTCATGCAAAACTTGCTTGACATGGTGGAGCTCTGCAGCCAGGTGTTTACTGTCACAGATCCCTCGTGCTCTCTGAAACAAAGATTTACCCACGGTAGCTAACTGTGAAGGATGGTGGTGAGAATCACCGTTTAAATATCTATCTGTATGGGTCTTTTTTTCTATACACAGTATGGCTCAAGGTGTTATCAGGATTCCGAATTACTAACACATCTAGAAAAGCTAAGGAATTGTTTGCCTCTGACTCCATTGTGAACTGAATTTTAGAATTTATAGAGTTAAGATGGTCTAAAAATGCAGTTACTTTATCTAAAGGTAGAATTGTGAAAGTGTCGTCTACGTACCGCTTGTAGAACCTTGGATTTATGGGAGAACTAAGCAGGGCTTTCTCCTCAAAGTCTTCCATGAATATGTCGGCGACAATGGGAGATACAGGTGAGCCCATCGCCACACCATCTACTTGCTTGTAGAACTCCTCCTTCCACAATAGGTAGCCAGATGTAAGGCAGTGTCTGACTAATACTGCATATTCTACGGGCATGTTGTTTTCTTCCAGCCTTCTAGTTACTTTCAATGAAACTGTTTCTTTAAAAGGTATTTATAAGGTTATTTAAAAGTCAAGCAATAGGGCATCCAATAAGGAACCATTACATTCCTATAGTTACACAGCCCATCCCAATTCGTAGTGGTAAATGAACAATTTAGTAGTGATTGAAAAATGATGTGGGTTTGTCGCGGACATTTGTGACAGACTTTGACCGTAACATTAAAAAAGGCAAAATTAAAAATGTCTAATTTAAAAATCTATCAATTTATGTTAAAAACTTAAGTCTTCGACATTTTTCAGGAATTTGAACACTTATTTGTTTTGAATAATACCAGATAACTTAAATGTCCAAATCGAGTCTAAGGAAAAATACCGTCAAAACTATGAGGCTTTTGGTCTTATAATCAAAAATTGTGTTGATTATAGAAAACCTTACATTAAGGCCTGATTACGGATTGATGATTTTAAATAATGGTATAATATTAAATCGATTTTAAGCCTTATTCTTTTTGTATTATATCATGTTTTATTTTTTATTTTTCAGTTTCCACGCCGATGTCAAACACAGCACCCATCACATAGTACCCAAGCATCACCACTATTAATCGCCCCAAATAAGAGAATGATGTATTTTTGTTGACTTCTGTTTTGCCAAAGCATTAAAAATGAACAATTCGTAAGATGTTTTTTTATAATAAATATTTTATCTTGTACCTGAGAAATTATATTATTTTCAACTTATTTATCTTAACATGATCTTCTAATTAAATTAATAAAAATAAAAAACCGTTAGATACCAGAAAGCTAAAATGCCCAAGCCAATGTTGAGAAGCATATTATATATTTTATCTTTCATCTAATATAATTCTTCTCATATCATTTATATGGGCACGAATGGGTTTTGACGACTCCGTGGCGCAGTGGCTTAGCAACGAGCTGCTGGTCGCTGGGGGTCGCGGGTTCGAATCCCGCAATAAACAAGTATTTGTATGGCCTACAAATAATTGTTCCGGGTCTGGATGTGTGTCCTTGTGCAATTTATGTTTGTAAACTGCCCCCACGTACCGTTCTTTTTAAATTTAATATATATATATATATATATATATATATATATATATATATATATATATATATATATATATATATATATATATATATATACGTAATCATAAGTTACTTGATTTCAAATAACTTCTAATTACTTCAAACGTCTTCAAACTTCAGAGTCTAGTCTGGAATATTTTGATATTTTAAAATGATGAAATGAATTAAATGATATATTTCTGAAAATTACCATAGAAAAATTCTAAATTTATCTCTTAATTTAATAACTTGGGCTCCAGCTACTGATTCTATAAGGTTATACATAGTCGCCAATTCAAAAAGCTACGCCATCGGTTCAACAAAACCTTACTGCGGGAGACCGTGTGAGAAGCTGCAAAAAAGCTAATTGTTATTCTCCTATGAATTATTTATATAACTTAACCTTATTAAATATATACATAAGTGTAAAGTCTAAGGAAGTTCAATATGATGATTTCTTATATTTACGCGAATATTATACATTGATTTATCATTGAGAAATTCAATATGTTCACAAATTTGTATCTTTTAAATAATTATCTATGTGTGTGAAATGTTGCATCGAATTGACGGGCTTTTGGAGACTGATTGAGGTCGGAAAACTTCGCTAGACTTTTGGTTGATCTAGATTTAAAGGCTGATCCCGTGTAAATTACCTACTGACACAATTTGGATAAGCAACTAGTGTTGTTTAATAGTTTAATTGTTTTCATTAAAACATTTCTTTAATTGCATATTACATTAGAAACCTCTGTTAGAAATGTCAAAGACCACTTCACTAGCAAAGTATTTATTTATATGTAAGTACATGAGTACATCGTACGAGTAATTATAATTGTGCACTTTAGTTTTGTATGATCTATGTAGAGAAACTGACACCCTTTTTACGGAATACGAGGCATTCCATCTGAGTCTTCAGGTGTAAAAATACATTAGCATTTTGTTATTTATTCGAGGATAGATGTAGATGTTTATGAACCACAGAATTCAGGTGGACTCTGCGCTCGTTTGGAAAAAATAAATGCATTGTTTTACCGGCGGAAAAACTCGCTTAAAATTGTTTGGAGTTTCTAGTTTCCATTTCGAAGACTGAAATTTCGACAATGTCATAACATCAAAAAGGTCAGGTCAGGACAGGTCAGATAAAAAGGCTTCTTAGCGTGATTTATATCTTATATGGTACGAGTCCTTATTTTATTAAAATTAAAAATAACATTTATGAAATTAACAGGTAAGTACAAATAAATATTATTTAATTATTGCACGTTGCTCTTTAACAATCGGTCCAGCCATTCCAAAGCTTAGCACGGACAGACAGACAGACATATTTTTAATTTTAATAAAATAAGGACAGTACTTGTACTCGTACTTTATAAGTTACAGATCACGCTAATCAACTTTTTGACCTGATGACCTTGCCGCTACTGAAATTCATTCACTATTAAAGCTCTGAGACATTCGCAATATTTACGAGTTCACAATCGCCGTGAAAGAAACATGTTCTCCAAAGTAAGTATTTTTAAATAAGTCATATATTATTTCAATGTTTGATGACTTTTACAAAGTTCTGCCCCTGGTGTTTCAACACCACTAAAGTCAATATTTTGTGCAAATTATTACCTATTGTCGAAATGTTATACTTATGCCATGCTATGTCCCATTCAATTACAATTATGAAAATTGGCTGATTTTAATATTACAGATTTTAGCTCTGAGCGCCGTCTTGGCAGTGTCAGCGGCAGGCCTCTTGCCACAGCCCCACTATTCATCTGCTGCAGCTGTCTCCTCACAGAGCATCGTGCGTCACGACCAACCTCAAGCTATTCACTCTGCACCCATCGCCACACATGCCGCCCCTCTTGCCTACCACGCTGCTCCAGTCGCCACTTACGCGGCTCCCGCCCGTTATTCCGCCGGCCATGCTGTGTGTCATGATCAGCCCCATGCCGCATTCGGAATTGCTCCTGTGTCTTACGCAGCGGCACCAGCGCACTACGCCGCGCCTATCATCAGCCATGTTGCTCCCGTGACCAAGTTTGTTGCCACCGCACAACACGAGGAATACGTAAGTAAATCATATAACCATTATAACAATGATAAGAAAACAACAAACAATTTGAAGTAACGTAAGATAAGTCGTACTGAATAGTACTTAACCACGTATTTTTTATTCTAGGCTCACCCTAAATACGACTTCGCATACTCCGTGGCCGATGGACACACTGGCGACACCAAGTCCCAACACGAGAGCCGCGATGGTGATGCTGTGCACGGCGAGTACTCGCTGCTTGAAGCTGATGGCTCAGTACGCAGAGTGCAGTACTCCGCTGACGACCACAACGGCTTCAACGCTGTAGTCAGCCACTCTGCGCCCGCGAAACACGGTGTTTCAGCTCCCGCACATTATCTGACTCATCATTACGTGACAATTCTCACCGACAACTTTGAATTAGTTATATAATTCATTGCAATTATTTCTATAAAATTAAGTTTGTTATAATTACTTGCCCTTTATTTTTACTGATTTTATTCCCTTTGTCGGCTCTTACAACGCCCACGGGATGATATGATGTAGTAGATTTTATCCGTGGAAGGAAAAGGGGAGTTCTCCTTCCTAACTTACAAAATGATCTATGAATAAGTTGGCGTTTGTGTATTGGCACTATAATCTGTCTCTAATCTGACTGTCTGAAATAAATTATTATTAATATATATATAAATATATAAACACTCACGCCTGTCACCCAGAAGGGTAGGCAGAGACTACGGACTTCCATTTGGCACGATCCTGACATACCTCTTTCGCCTCCTTTACATCCATATATCTACGCATACATGCTCGTCGGTTAAGGGTACTTCTAACGTGGCCCCTTTTCAAAATATCGCCAATTTGGTCGATAAACTTTTTTCTAGGGCGTCCCTTCCCGACTCGGCCGTTCACATCTGCCATATAAATTTGCTTTCTCACTCTTTCCTCATTCATTCTTTCTACATGACCAAACCACCGAAGCATTACTTTCTTAATCCTTGTCATATCATCATCTTGCATACCACATTTATCTCTTATCACGCAATTTCTCACCCTGTCATTCAGATTCAACCCTAGCATACTCCTTAAAGACCGCATTTCTACAGCATTTATTCTACTTTCGTGATTTTCTGCTACTATGATACTAACACAGCATTATGAATTACCATACGTGCCTTTTTGGACACATTCTGGTTCTTCATAATAGAGTGTAGTGCCCCATTCACTCTATTACCTGCATTTACTCGTCGTTTTATATCCCTATCATATCTACCATCCCTGCTAAATACACATCCCAAATACACAAACTCATCTACTTGCTCAATTAACTCTCCTTCTATTCTTATTTCACATACAGTTTTTCTTTCTTCTCTTTCAAAAACCATCACTTTCGTCTTACTTGTGTTCACTTTCATTCCCCTTTCTTTTAATTCCCAGTTCATTAATGTAACCATCATTTGCAACTCAGCCGCCGATGACGCAAATATGACTTGATCATCGGCATACAAAAGGCATTTGACGGTTAACTCGCCCATTCTTAACCCACATTCTTCATCTTTCAAAGTTTGCAAACACCTGTCCATAAATAGGTTGAACAGCCAAGGGGAAGCTACACAGCCCTGTCTGACACCTTTTTGGATGCCAAACCAGTGTGACTAGACCCCATTGATCCTGACACAAGCACTAGAGTCCCTATAAAGAGACCTTAATGCCCGTATCAAACCAGCGCTCAACCCAAATGAGTTCAGTGTTTGCCATAACACATTCCTGTCCACTCTGTCATAAGCCTTTTCCAAGTCCATGAACGCACAAAAAACTTTCTGGTTTTTGGCCAAAAACTTCTCCGCAATCATGCGCATGGAATAGACTTGATCTGTACACCCCATTCCCTTTCTAAAACCCACTTGCACATCCCAATTATTATTAATATTTGGGGTATATCTTTAATTTAAATGAATATTATTATTATAAATGAAAATGAAATGATAAACATACATAAATATCAATAAAATAAAATGACATGCCCTCGGCAAGGGACCAAACGACCAAACGACCGAGGGTTGGGGGTAAAGGGAACGAAACAGGCGGACGATGCGTGCGGTATCGAGGAGCACTGCCTTCTGTATTTGAGCCCGGAGCGGTCCGTCACGGAATCCCAGTCGCCTCAGATGACCCGGGATGCTGACCGGGATTAGCCCATTCGCAGTGTTGTTATTATTATTATAAAGTAGCGGTTTATTTATAGTTTATTAATTGTTTTAAGATGTATAGCTATTGATAACAAGATTCCTTGTAATGTTACTAATTTTAAAAGATATTATAAATTAGATAATTATTTAAAAGGTACAAAATTGTGAACATATTGAACTTCTCAATAATTAATCAATGTGTAGTTTTCGCATAAATATAATCATATATATGTATGATGATGATGTAATAATATAATATATAATATAACTAAAAACTTTAAAAATAATGGTAATGAAATATTGTTAAAGATTGACAATAATAGTGTCACCAGTTTTTTTATAAAAATCTATGGCAATTTAAGTAATTTATAAAGTTTATCTCTCTCCTATTTTATTTACTGAAAATTAAAAGAGACTGGTATAAAGTAATTATAACTAAAGTAAGTGATAATAAACACTTAGTGTTTAACTTCTTACTTAGTAATCTGGCTGTGCAGTGCTGGCAGCGCGTTTCAAACATTTTCCAACCTAATTCAATTTGTTCTAGTTTGCAACAAACGCAATCTTAAAGCGCAAACTCTAATGTGGTTTTCACATAAACGCTGTAAGCTTTGACGGCGTGTATTTTCAAGTGTAGCGTTAGTATGTATATTAAAGCTTTTCTTACCGTTTTCTGTCAAGCCTAGAGTAATTTTCAACTTATGCGTCTTGTTAGAGAAATTTTAAAAAGTAAATTAAAGAAATTTACAAAGATAGAACGAAAAATTTGACTTTAGGGCTCAAAATAAAATACAATGTCTATCACAACATAATATTAAAGTCTATCGAACGTATACCTTTTAGTTTCTCCATACTGCAGCTGTATAGTTGTAAGACGAGACGAGAGACATATTGAACTTCCTTAGATTTTACATTTATATATATATATATATGGTACCGATTTTTTTTGAAATTACATTTATAAATTACATACTGATGAAACATTAATAATATTTTTTGATCTTATTGACAGAATAGAAAAAACTGAACTGTTTATTTGAATGAAGAATCATGAGCGCAATTAGTTTTATTAAAATTTTCGTATTTTTCAAAAATACTAAAAAATGGCTTCAAATAAAAAGGGCTTCAATTACATTTATAAATTACATACTGATGAAACATAAATAATATTTTTTGATCTTATTGACAGAATAGAAAAAAACTGAACTGTTAATTTGAATGAAAAATCACGAGTGCAATTAGTTTTATTAAAAATTTCGTATTTTTCAAAAATACTAAAAACAGGGCTTCAAATAATGATTTCTTATATTTACGCGAACACTATACATGATTAAAACTACTTTTACGGATTTTATCGCGTTTATTTTTACTTTTTATTTACTTTTATTTTTAATTCCCGACGTTTCGGACGCTTTCCAGCACCCATGGTCACGGAGGACCATGGTTGGTGGAAAGCGCCCGAAATAAATAAATTATATATATAATTCATAGGAAAACAGCTTGCAGCTTCTCACAAGGTCTCCCGCAGTAAGGTTTTCTTAAAGCGACGGCATAGTTTTTTCGAATTATTATGACTATGACTATGTATAACCTTATAGATTCACTAGCTGGATCCCAGTTTATTAAATTAAGAGATATATTTAGAGTTATTTTCGGAAATAATTATATTTATAACTTTTACAATATCGAGGCATTCCAGACTAGACTCTGAAGTTTGAAGACGTTTGAAGTAATAAGAAGTTGTATAGAATTAATTCACTTATGATTACGTGTGTATATATGATATTAGAAGTATTATATTAAATGAAAGATAAAATATATAATATGTTCCTCAACAGGGTGAGAAATTGCGTGATAAGAGATAAATGTGGTATGCAAGATGATGTTATGACAAGGATTAAGAAAGGAATGCTTCGGTGGTTTGGTCATGTAGAAAGAATGAATGAGGAAAGAGTGACAAAGCAAATTTATATGGCAGATGTGAACGGCCGAGTCGGGAAGGGACACCCTAGAAAAAAGTTTATCGACCAAATTGGCGATATTTTGAAAAGGGACCACGTTAGAAGTACCATTAACCGACGAGCATGTATGCGTAGATATATGGATGTAAAGGAGGCGAAAGAGGTATGTCAGGATCGCGCCAAATGGAAGTCCGTAGTCTCTGCCTACCCCTCTGGGTGACAGGCGTGAGTGTTTATGTATGTATTATGTTCCTAAATATTGACTTGGGGATTTTAGTTTTTTGGTATCTAACGATTACTCATTTTTATTAATTTAATTAGAAGGTCATGTTAAGATCAATAAGTTGAAAATAATATAAATTCTCAGGTACAAGATAAAATATTTATTATAAAAAAAACATCTTACGAATTGTTCATTTTTAATGCTTTGGCAAAACAGAAGTCAACAAAAATACATCATTCTATTATTTGGAGCGATTAATAGTGGTGATGCTTGGGTACTATGTGATGGGTGCTGTGTTTGACATCGGCGTGGAAACTGAAAAATAAAAAATAAAACATGATATAATACAAAAAGAAAAAAGCTTTAAATCGATTTAGTATTATATCATTATTTAAAATCATCAATCCTTAATCAGGCCTCAATGTAAATCACTTGAATAAGACCAAACGCCTCATAGTTTTGACGGTATTTTTCCTTAGAATCGATTTGGACATTTAAGTTATCTGGTATTCATTATTATAGTTAAGAGTATATATTGGATAGTAGGACTTACGATCATTTAGACGAAAACAAAACGAAAATTACGCAATACACTTACCCGCTGTGATCGGCAGCATGATATTCGACGTGTCTGACGGAACCATCGGGCTGGTGCAGCGCATAGCCACCCGTCACGACATCACCGTCGCGGTGCTCGTGCTGCGACTTAATGTCGCCCGTATGATGGTCCTCTACCTTGTATTCAAACTCATATTTTGGGTGAGACTGAAAAAATATATTTAGAGGAATAGATAGATTAGATGAGAATAGATTTTATTATAGTTTTTTTACTTATTCACTTGGCAACGGATAAGAGATGTTCTCGTAACGGAAAGTATTAGATATATATTTTGTAGTTAATTAATTTAAGAATAGTAAATATATTTTAAGAGTGTCCCTTTATTGTTGGTAATAGTGGGAATTTTCAACCATTTAGAATAATATTATAGAAATACATTATAAAATAGGTATATTGCATAGTGAGGATATCTGCAATAGAACTGGAGCAAGTAACGTATCTAAATGGATCAATCAGCTGAAGAGCCAATTAGTTGGTTTAATAGCTCTGATAACTAATGTGAAAGATACGAGTGAATCTTATATTTGCAAGCGAAGTGTAGAACAGCTCTCCGCTGAGTGAAATAGCGACAGAAAAATTTGCTTGGTTGTTGTCAGCTCTGAAGACTAAGATAGAATGGCTTACAGCCTGTAACTATAAAGTTTATTTGGTGGTAGGACTCTTTTTCTGTTTAGAGATCCATCTGGATAGATACCAAGCTCTTACCTACTTCAGCTGCTCGGCTGTGTTTTAGAGTAAAGAAGATAGAGTGCAACTATAGGCTGTGAGCTCTTCCATCTAGGTTCTCAGGCGTATATACAAATATGTATAGTTGCATAAGGTAGCCATTAGATGGAGTGTAAGCTCCTAAGAAGGGTGTCAATGAATACAGGTTGCTTAGGACAGTGCTTTATGATAATTTACAAAGTAGGATCAGTTAAGTGGTGGACTTGCGATATATAATTATGTATTGAAAGTGATTGAATAATATATACTAAAATACTTACATGATAATCATGTTCGTGGCCGTGTTCATGGTGTACTATGTGATGATGTCCATCGTGGTGCGATATGTGATTAGACGAAAATGCATGGTCGTAGCCATTAATATACGCGACCATCATGAATGTAAGAGTTAGAGCCAACATCTAAAAAAGTTGTATTTAAAATTTTACAATCAATATCAACTAATTAATACGCAACAGTTATAAGTCATTAAATTACCTTTGAAACCGTATTGCGCACAATTGACTACTGTGAAGTAACTGGTACCTATAATATGATTACCAGCACACTGATAATTTTTGTAGAAAACACCAGTCTTTTATATCGCTTTGATTGTAACTAAATTAACGATAATGATTGTTTTCGTAACACAGCAATTCTTATAGTTTAGTTGTATTTTAAAATTCCGTGATCAATAGTAATTTGATCTACGCAGCGTAAGCGTTATTAAAATGAGGTTTATGTGAACTTAAACTTTACGTGCAAACTACGCAAACATTGCATGTGTATTTTATTGTTAATAGAGTTATTACTGATTATTCATACAATAAAGTATTCGAATTCCCTCAAAAACTTCTTGAAAAAATGTCGAAGACCCAAGCTTTTGACATAAATTGATAGATTTTTAAATTAGACATTTTTAGCATTGCCATTTTTAAAATGTTACGGTCAAAGTCTGTCAAACAAACGTCCGCGGCAAACCCACATCATTTTTAAATCACTATTCAATTGTTCGTTTACCACTACGTATCGAAATGGGCTGTGTAACCATAGGAATTTAATGGCTCCTTATTGCATGCCCTATTGCATTTGACTTCTTATTTAAATAAATAGTTTCATTTGCAAGAAGATCTCAATTAATATTACAAATTATTTTAAAGTGTTATATATTATGTAATGTTTACGTGATAGAGCCATCCTGCAGCTATACTACTGGTATAGTTGTAGCACCAATGGGTTGACTCGACCGGGGAAGGACCACGCTCTCAAAAAATACCAGTGTCATATAGCAACTTAACGCTGCTGTATTTCGCTGAGTGTAGAGAATCGGAGACCTCTTTTACTGGAAATGAGGTATTACGTCATAGTCCTCACGGATTAAAGTGCATCTGCATTTCATTATCGAGGATAGATGTAGATGTCTATAGACCACAGCAACCACTTACCATTAGATAGAATGTGTGCTCGTTTGTCTTCCGTATAATATAAAATAATTAAATTTTTGTAAAATTACTTCAAAACTATATTCTCTCCATTCTTAAGCTTGAGACTGTTGTCCTCCAGCGCACTCTTCTGGCAATGTATTTATATCCCTTTCTGCAAGCGAGTTATCAGTAGCGTACATGACGAGCCACAGATATTTCTTTGCTTGTTTAGTTGACTTCGAATACATTGATGATGTTCTTATGTTATTTATATTCAAGTCGGTTGTAGAAAAAATTAACTTTAATACTTGTGATAATTAAAAGTGTTAGTAAATATCGATATTCGGTACTGTCAATCTCTGCAAAATGATGTGGATCCTGTAATTCAGTTTTGTGTTCAGAACAAATTAAAAATTAAAATTATCCGGTTGCCGTAACAAGTCTTGTTTTCTATTATTTAATAGTAATTCAATACAGTGTTGGGTTTATCGCTTGACCGTTGCTCTTAAGTTTATCGGTAGACGTAAGCTTCAATTTCATTGCACGTAATATGAATGATATCAGCAATAATGCTCAAAATGCTTTAGGTGAGAAAATCGAGTTCTTTTACAGAATTACTTGACCGTGTAGTGGCAGTGTAAGAATATCCATGTAGCGGCGCTATAACAGGACTGCACCGTCGAACTTCGGTCTGAGCAAGGGGGCGATGTGTCAGCGCTGTCGTCGCGCCACAAGCGAAATGCACCGAAGCTTAAATCACGCTATCAAAGTTCCGAAGTACAGAAGTGTATATAGAAAAATAGCGCCAAACTATCACACGGAGCGTTGGCCGTTCCCCGAGCTGATTACCTCTGCCTCTGGGATAAGTTCGGAATGAGATCTCCCCCTTTCCTCTCACGGATAAAATCTACTACATCATATCATCCCGTGGGTGTTGTAAGAGCTGACAAAGGGAATAAAATCAGTGAATATGCAACAGCGTCTTCCTAAAAACTACTAAAACTCACCTGCTAAGCGTGCCTGCTATGGCAAAATCTCCGTTATGAAGAAATCTATAGGGCAGGAAGTCTTTTGATAGGCGTAATGGCTTCGGTTACTCTATAACCACACTACACAAGACATACGTATGCAGCATTTTTAATTGTAAAACGTTATTATAAGGGTTCTGTACGAGGATAAATACAATCCTTGTATAGAGCAAATTTATTACAAATTTGCACGCGTATATGATAATATTCATCATCATCATTACAGCCCTTTACAAGTCCACTACTGAACTTCCCCAAAAAAATTCAAAAAACATAGTCTCAGCCACCTGCATCCATCAATTTTCTGCATGTCTTTCCAGGTCGTTACTCCATCTAGTGGGAGGTCGTCTTACACTTCGTCTACCTGTACGAGGCTGTCACTCTCGTTTCTCGAGCTATATGACCGGCCTATTGCCACTTCAGTAAACTTATCTGTTTGGCTGTGTTTGTCACTCTGGTTCTCCTGTAGATATCCTCATTTCAAGTATATCACGCAGAGAAACCCCAAGCAAAGGCCCCTCTGGATCTCGCTGAGCGACCTTAAGCTTCCTCATACGGCCAGTAGTAAACAACCACACAACACGCACTTGTACAATCTCGTTTTTAAGTTTTGAGATATACCTAACAAGAAGGTGTGTATTAATTTCCCGAACGCTGCCTAGCCGAGTTGAATCCATCGATTGATCCCTCGATCGAAGTTGTACTTACCTAATTGGACTATTCGTCTTAGGTAAAAATACTCGTCAACAACTTCGAGCTTAGTGTTCTCAAAAACTACCGGTATATATGTGCTATGAACGTTTCACATGATCTTTGTTTTGTCCGTGTTCATCTTAAGACCAATCCGTTAGGAAGCACTATTGAGGTCATTGAGCTTAATGCTTAGGTCTTCTAGCGATTCTGCTATAAGGACTATATCGGCGGCAAATTTTTCCTGACATTGATGTTAATAGCGTATTCTTTCCAGTCCAGTATCTTAAAGACTTCTTCCACATTTCGGGAGTATAACGTCTCGTCGTCTCTCTTCAGTTGGGTTGGATTCGTACTCTGGTTCTGTACTCCTATTGTACACAGTCCTATTGTACAAACATATCAGCACTTCGATATACCTACAGTTAACTTGGCACCGCTAAAGGGACTGCAAAACTGTCTAAATTTCGACTGAATCCAAAAGCTTTCTCATAGTCCACATACACAAGACGTTGTGGCAAATTGTACTCCTCATTCTTTTGTACAGTTTACCAAAAGGTATGTATGTGGCCTATAGTGCTAAAGCCTTTTCGGAAACCGGCTTGTTCGGGAAGCTGGAAATCGTCGACTCTGCATGCGAGTCAATTCGTAATGACATATGGAGACACCTAACTCCTAGAGTGTGTAAGTGTGTGTGACCTAGAGTGACAGCGTCCCTTTGTGCAGTTATCATTTCATATGATAACGTGAACCAGACTACTGGCTTTCTACCTGTCATCCCATATGACATCACCTAACTTGGAAAATAACAGCGTCTCTTCGACCGGTCGTGATTACATGATAACACCTAAATATGCAAACCAACAACAATATTACACAACTCATTATTACATAGAGCAGATCGTCAGCAACACCACCATCTTTGCCTTCACCGGAATAATCACCACAACGATCCTAACAAGTATACTGTCACTCAACGAATCCCAGCACTCGTAGTATGATTTCACTCAACTCGGAAATCAATAAGATGCAGCGTTGTGAAAATTTTATGTTTATATTTTTTATAGGAATGATGAAATGATGTAGCCCATAGACAACTTAATAACCTCTCGATTAAGAATAAAAATATAGTTGGGTTTTCACCACTAAGGATAAAAAAGAATGCCTTATTATGAGTGAAAAAAGTATCAGGTTCTTTAAACATAAGCCGTATGAAATAAAGAAACATTAAGCTTATGCTTACGCTGGTATTCTCTGAGGCCATGGTTCTTCCATGCTCTAGCCAGCAACTCATTCGTGCTGCAAACGTAGTATAGCTGCAATGTGGCTTTAAATAAAAAAGTAAAATAAAGGACGAGTTATTTCAATAAATTATTATATTTATAGAAATAATTGCAATAAATTATATAACTAATTCAAAGTTGTCGGTGAGAATTGTCACTTAATGATGAGCCAGATAATGTGCGGGTGCTGAAACAACGTGTTTCGCGGGCGCAGAGTGACTGACTACAGCGTTGAAGCCGTTGTGGTCATCAGCGGTATACTGCACGCTGCGTACTGTGCCATCAGCTTCAAGCAGCGAGTACTCGCCGTGCACAGCATCACCATCGCGGCTCTCGTGTTGGGACTTGTTGTCGCCAGTGTGTCCATCGGCCACGGAGTATGCGAAGTCGTATTTAGGATGAGCCTAGAATTAAAAATACGTGGTTAAGTATTATTCAGTATGACTAATCTTACGTTACATTTAATTATTTGTTGTTTTTTATCACTGTTATAATGGTTATATGATTTACTTACGTATTCCTCGTGTTGTGCGGTGGCAACAAGCTTGGTCACGGGAGCAGCATGGCTGATGATAGGCGCGGCGTAGTGCGCTGGTGCCACTGCATAAGACACGGGAGCAATTCCGAATGTGGCATGGGGCTGATCATGACGTAAGATACTTTGAGAGGACACAGCATGGCCGGCGGAATAACGGGCGGGAGCCGCGTAAGTGGCGACTGGAGCAGCGTGGTAGGCAAGAGGGGTGGCATGTATGGCGACGGGTGCAGAGTGAATAGCTTGAGGCTGGTCGTGACGCACGATGCTCTGTGAGGAGACAGCTGCAGCAGATGAATAGTGGGGCTGCGGCAAGAGGCCTGCCCCTGACACTGCCAAGACGGCGCTCAGAGCTAAAATCTGTAATAATAAAATCAGCCAATTTTCACAATTGTAATTGAATAGGACATATTATGGCATAAGTAGAGCATTTCAGCATTAAGTAATGATTTGCACAAAATATTGACTTTACTGGTGTTGAAGCACCAAGGGCAGAACTTTGTAAACGTCATCAAACATTGAATTAATATATGACTTATTTAAAAAGACTTACTTTGGAAAACATGCTTCTTTCACGGCGATTGTGAACTCGTAAATACTGCGAATGTCTCAGAGCTTTTATAGTGAATGAATTTCGGTAGCGGCAAGGTCATCAGGTCAAAAAGTTGATTAGCGTGATCTGTAACTTATAAAGTACGAGTACATGTACTGTCCTTATTTTATTAAAATTAAAATTATGTCTGTCTGTCTGTCCGTGCTAAGTTTTGTAATGGCTGGACCGATTGTTAAAGAGCAACGTGCAATAATTAAATAATATTTATATGTACTTAAACTTTAATTTCATTAATGTTATTTTAAATTTTAATAAAATAATGACTCGTAACTATATGGTAGCTACAAATCACGCTAATAAACCTTTTTATCTGACCTGACCAGGCCTTTTTTACGTAATGACCTTGCCACTGTCGAAATTTCAGTCTTCGAAATTGAAACTCCAAACAATTTTAAGCGAGTTTTTCCACCGGTAAAATAATGCATTCTTCTTTTTCAGGGATAATCAAGAGGAATAAATTATTGAATATCTCAACCCTGGAGCTACAGTTACAGACACTGTCTCTCCCCCAAGGATTTTTTATAGAATAAGGGTGCCAATCGAGCGCACAGTCAACCTGGATTCTGTGGTCCATAAACATCTACATCTATCCTCGAACATAAATATAAATGCTGATGCATTGTCACACCTGAGGACTAAGATGAAATGCCTCGTTGTCCGTACAAAGGGTGTCCTCTACACTTATCAAATGAAACACAGCAGCAATTAGCTGCTACTTTTTATTTTAGTTTAGTTGCTAGTTACTGATGTTTAGTGGTCGTTCCCCGGTCGAATTTTATGGTTGTAATTCGAACGGGCCGGCTATTCGTATTACAACCATAAAATGGCTGCATTATGGCTTTGTCAATTAGTAAGTTATTACGGACTATTAACTGATGACACAGGCCTGACCTTTAGGCATTGCTTTGTAACAAAAATAAAGTGCCCAATTATAATTCCTCGTACGATGTACTCATGTACTTACATGTAAATAAATACATTGCTGTTTTTGATCTTTCTAACAGAGGTTTCCATAATGTTATATGTAATTAAAGAAATGTTCTAATGAAAACAATTAAACTATTAAACAAAACTAGTTGCTTATCCAAATTGTGTCAGTAGGTAATTTACACGGGATCGGCTTTTAAATCTAGATCAACCTAAAGTCTAGCGAAGTTTTCCGACCTTCACAAGTCTCCCAAAAGACCGTCAATTCAATGCAACATTTCCACGTGACGTTGGCATTTGAAATATAAATTTTCATAATACTTCTCACACCCCTACTATTTGATAACAGCACCTAGCGTTCTTTCCACTGTACTGCGAGATCGGACACTTAACAATAATTTTGTGCTATAATCCTGTTCCGGCATTTTATTGTAACTATTTGTGCAGTACTTATCTATTATCGGTTATATTATTATTTTAATGCCGATAGTTAAATGATAATTATAATGGTAATAAATACTTTCGCGGTACGTTTTGAGAAGTCGGTTTCTTAAGATTCGGAGTTTAGGGTTTCTTCGTGTTCGGATTTTTAGATATTTGGAAATATAAAAATACAATAGGATGAAAAAATAGCAGAAAAGTTTTTGTAATTTATTGTAACATAATAAATCCTTGAATAATAATTCTACTGAACATAAATTATAATTCTGCGCTTTTTTTAAGACAGGATTTTCTGCATTTTTGCTTCATTGTACTAGCAAGAAATAATAAATTATTTCATGTGAAATAAGTTAAAAATATGTACTAAAAATTAAAACTAATATAAAACTATAAAGGTAAATTTAACATCGAAGAAGACGACCAGCGTTGTTACCTGCTGTTCGGTCTGTTTTTAAATTTTCAGTAATGGTGATGAAGATGATGGGTGCTATATTTTACATCCGCATGAAACCTGATGGACAAAAACTCAGGACAGTAAATAATAGCAAAAATATAAATAAAATCATAGAAATAATACATAATATAGGTATATATACAAAAAATAAACTTATTATATTTATTAAATTGATATTAAATTTATGTTTTGGTCGACTGTGTGGTGATCCTCTACCTTGTAGTGAAATTCATACTTGGGATGTGTCTAAATATAAATTAATAAGAAGTCCCTTATGCTGTTTAAGAATATTGTTATGATTATGTCGTTGTTTTTAAGCAGATAAACATGCAAGATCACAGAAGTCATAATATAGTGTACCAGGATAAAAAGGAATAAACTTTCTTTAAATTGTCTTTATCTGAGACTTAACCGGATAGCGGTGCGCTGATCGCTAGTGCATTAGGCTAAAGCTTTACTGTTGTACATTCAATGTCATAATATATAACTATTTACTAATTAGTTTTAAAGTACAATCGTAAAACAATAATCTTGCAAATCATTATTTTCGATCCAGGATTCTCTAACCTGAGCAGGAAGGATAAAGTAAATTTTTCAGGTACCTCCTTATTTTTTATAATATATTTATGGTGACAAACAAGCACACAGTTAACTTGATAGTAAAAGGATACTAATGATATTAATGATACTATCTACTACCGATCGAAATGTAAATACATTGTAACCTCTAAGGTAAAAGACGGAACACCTCAACACAGCCAACAACGTCTCCGGTTCTGGTTATCCATGCTGGTATTCTGTAAGAACGTAGTCCTATTAGCGGATAAATCCGCTCTACAGGACGGAAATCCGCCGCGATCGCCGACAGTAACGGTTTCGTGCACTCCTAGTTTTTAAAAAAAATAAAATATGTCTAGTGTTTAAACTTACTTAAAATTAATATCAATAGATGCAGTATTTTATTGGTGTTCGAGTGGTTAAATCATTCAGTGTTTTCGTGATAAATTGTGATAGAAATACTCCAAAAAGTGTGAGAAGCACCGTAGTCATTTTTAAAAGTTGCAGTCAGTTGTTTATTTTGCAACGGGTATGCAATAAGTTATAAGTCACTTACATTATTCAACGAACATTTATCTCCGTAAAGTGAATCGCTTATTCAAAGAGTATATTAGCGAGCAGTTGGCGCTGTGGCTTACGCATTAACGCAACAAGAAAATAAGTATAAGAGGCGTTAGATCGAATCCCAACGGTTGAGGTCTCTTTTAACTTTATTTACAAAAATTACTTAGTTTGAGATTAGCAAAACAATTAATATGAATTGCTCTGCCTGCAATAAGAAGCTACTTCGCACTGACCGCTACTTAGCATGTAATCACTGTCGTTCAAAATATCATATTGAGTGCCTAAATTTAAGTAAAGAACAATTTACGGCTTTGACTACTGAATATAAATCAAAGTGGATGTGTCCATCTTGTAGTAATATAACTAAACGTAAACAATCGAATGTCAATACGCCTGTCCAACAAACGCTTGTACCACTCGTAGAGAAACCATTGAATTCGCCCCTTGAAAATTCAAGCTGTTCATCAACCGATTCCCAATTATTTTCCTCAAACGACGACAATCTCGTCACCATGGGTAAAATTAGTACCTTATTGGATAAAAAACTTAATAATTATCTATCGGATTTCGTGGAAAGTTTTAGAAAAGCATTGAAGGATGACGTCAAAAACCTAGTACAAGCGGAGATGGACTCAGTTGTGCAGCAGCTTAAAGACGATTTTACTGTAACCACTAACTTTATATGTGATGAACAGTCTTCCCTAAAGCAAGAAATTGAAAATAAGAGTCACATAATAAAACACCTAGAATCTGAAACTCTGCGATTTCAAAAGGAGATTAATGTTCTGACCAATCGTTTAACATCAATTGAAAAAAATTTCCCGTAGCAAAAATTTTGAAATACAGTTAGTACCAGAAAGTCGAAATGAAAATCCAATGCTGTTATTCCGTAACCTGTGTAAAACAGTAAATATTCAAATAGATGATGAGAACATTCATTCTTGCCGTAGAGTTGCCAAATACGACATCTCCTCCGAACGCCCTAGAAATATTCTTGTAACTCTCATCAACCCACGCTTACGGGACCAAGTTCTCTCCGCATGTTATCGTTATAATAAAGCCAATAAAGACAATCCCTTGAATACCAACAACATCGGATTAAATTGCGAAAAGCGAAAAATTTATGTGACTGAACATCTTTCTCCGGAATGTAAGGCTCTTCATGCTGCTGCTAGAAATTTTGCAAAGGAGAAGAAATATAAGTATGTATGGGTTAAGTTCGGACGTATATATATTCGTAAGGAAGACACTGCGGCCTGCATACACATTAGAAATATGGAATGCTTAAACAAGCTGTCATAATATCACAATTTTTTTCTGTTGCTATATTTGGTTTATGTATTTGGGAATTTCAGTCTTGTATAATGTTAATTTATTATCAAAATGTTAATCGCTTAAGATCAAAAACAAAAGAGTTCTATCTTAATGTACTTAATAATGATTATGACATTATCTGTATAACTAAAACAAACTTAAATAGCACTATTTTTGACGGTGAATTCATTGACACTCGCTATAATGTTGTAAGGCGCGACAGATATCAATCAAATGCACGTAAATCTGAGGGCGGGGGGAATTCTAATTGCCGTTAAATAAGAAATAAATTTTATTTATCAAGTTTCCTGGAATAGTGAGCTAGAAGACTTGTGGATCAGTATATTGCCAAAAGCCACTAATGTTAAAATTATTAATATTTGTCTCTGTTATCTTCCGCCAGATCTGCCTTTAGACTGCATCGATAAATTTTTTACAAACTGTCAAAACGTAATTATGCGATATCGCAACACAGAAGAATTTTTTTGTATAGGGGATTTTAATATACCCGACGTTGACTGGTCTAAATCATCACAGTATAATTATATGATTCCTCTCCACCCGCGAGGTCAAAAAGCTAATCTGCTTTGTGATACCCTTAGAATATGTAACCTTGATAATTATAACAGTATATCAAATAACAACGGACGATTTTTAGACCTAATTCTTTTCAGTTCGAACAGCATTCAGGTTTATGAAGTGGAGCCATTGAGTCGCTTAGATAACCACCACCCCTCATTAGTTGCAGATATTAATCTTGTTGAAATAAACTCAAATAATTTTAAAAACAAAAAACAAAAACGACCAAATTTTTTTCAAAAGCAATTATTCAAAAATAAATCTTGAATTAAAATTAGTTAAATGGCATAATATCTTGTCAATTCATAAAGATATTGATAGCATGACTGACGCATTTTACGCAGAGCTTAGGAATATTATTGCAAAACATACACCTATGACCAAAATTGACACAAACAACTATCCAGTATGGTTCACACCTGCTTTAAGGCAAAGCTTAGAAGAAAAACTAAAATATCATCGTCGTTTCAAAAAATATAAGAATCCTCGGGATTATGATACATTTTCCATGTTACGCAACAGATGTAAAAAACTTATTAAAAATGACTATAAAAATTTTGTATCGTCCGTCGAATCTTCTTTAGATGATGACATAAAATTCTTTTGGCCTTTTGTCAATGACAAGAAAAATAATGCTAATAGCATTCCCAAAACGATGAAATATGGTAATCACATCTCTTCCGATGAAAAAGAAATATGTGAGCTTTTCTCTAATTATTTCAGTTCTGTCTTTGCAAACCCAGAGGAGACTATCTTATATTCTCACAATGAATTATCCAATCGTAGTAATTGTACCCTAAGTGATATCACAATCACACCAGACCACATACAGCAAAAGATCGCGAAATTAGACCAAAGAAAAGGCTCTGGACCAGATGGTATTCCTCCGTTATTCATTAAGAAATGCGGGAAGGAATTAAGTAATCCCTTGTGTATTATATTTAATGCATCCATTAAGGCAGGTATTTTTCCATCAGTATGGAAAATAGCTCATATTGATCCGATTTATAAATCTGGCGACAGATCAAATTGCGAAAATTATCGACCCGTAAGCATCTTGTCTTGCCTTGGTAAATTGTTTGAATCATTGGTGTATGATTCTCTTTATCATCATATTCAACCTTTCCTATCGCTTCGACAACATGGCTTCATTAAGAACAGATCGACGACTTCTAATTTACTTGAATACAAACACTATCTTTGCAGTGCTTTCGCCAAGAGAAAACAGGTTGATAGCATATATACCGATTTCTCAAAAGCATTCGATAGAGTAAATCATAATATCTTATGTATTAAATTAGCATGTTACGGAATATATGGGAGTCTGTTGAGATGGACTGAATCATACCTCAACAGGAGAAGTCAGTTAGTTACTATAAAAGGTTTCAAATCCTCACCCGTTTCTGTGACATCGGGTGTGCCACAAGGGTCCCATTTAGGTCCTTTATTTTTTATTACGTTTATTAACGATCTCATTGATAAATTGACATGTCCATGCCTGTTGTATGCAGATGATTTGAAGATATTTTCCGTTATTGATACACTCAGCGATTCGTTCAATCTTCAGTCGAATTTAGACTCCATTCATAATTGGTGTAAGGAAAATCTAATGCATCTGAATACGAGAAAATGTTTTGTGTTATCATTTAGTAACAAGAAGCACAGACTTACATTTGAGTATAAAATAAATGGACAGGTACTTGATAGAAAATCCGTAGTTAAGGATCTTGGAATACTGTTTGATGAAAAGCTTACGTTTCGCGATCATTACGATCATGTAATATCTAAAAGTACAAAACTTCTTGGCTTTATATTTAGAACTGCAAAGATTTTTAAAAATCCACGAAGCTTTCTTATTTTGTACTGTTCCCTAGTACGCAGTATTTTAGAGTACAACATAATTATTTGGTTTCCATACTACGCTGTCCACGTAGATCGTATTGAACGTGTTCAAAAGAAATTTTTATCAATCCTCTGCTATAGGTACGGTTTAAATAGAAGTCTGCCCTCCTATGAAGAGAAACTAAAAAAGTTTAACATTATGTCACTACAAACTCGGTGTAAATATCAGGATATGACTTGCCTTTTCAAAATTATTCATTCTTTTATAGATTCCCCCACCCTCCTTTCATTTGTCAAGATTAATACTAAGCCCCATCGTCGGTATACTTTCCTAAATACTTTTGCTTTGCAAGTTTATAGAAATAATACGTCCTATTACAATCCTATATAATGACTTATTGATTAATAATAGTAAAAATATAGATATTTTTAATAACAAATTAAACAATTTCAAAAAATCTGTATTAGATATATTTTGTAAATAAGGCATTCAAGGCTTAAAATTTAAATTTAAATATGTAGGTTAATGAACATTATTTTAATAAAGATTTAATTTTTAAAAATTTTCCACAACATAAGTTCATAAAAATAGTATGTTTATAAGTAAGGTTTTAATTATTTGTGCTGTATAATCGTTACCGTTACTTAATATCATGTTGTGTGCACATGTTTTGGACTACCATCCAGATTGTAACTTTGTATTTATTATTTTCAATTGTTCATGTTTTGGTATTATTCTGTTTTGTGTACCTAAATAAATAAATAAATAAAAATTCGTGCTACAGCGCTATAAAGCTAAAACGTGACTCCGCCACATACAAAACTGAATTTTATTTTTTTTGGAAAGCCAGGTGACAACCGCGGTTTTTATAATTTTGAGTCATCCGGAAGATGCCGCTGCTCGTTTCCTGTTTCAGTTTACCTTTCAGGACCTAATGGGTTAGTGGCTATTCTTACACCGCCACTTAATGGCTATTTTATTTTTGTTTTTATTTTTAAATGTCAAGGTACACTGATAAGTATGTTTAATATAGATTTACTGGTAACTAACTATGATAACCGTCACGTGGCGAAAAACTGTAACTAGACGTAAAATTGAAACCCGAGCACACTAGTTTTCACAAGAAATACCAATTCACAAACATGATTAAAGAGAAGTGGATCAAATAATAAATACTATACACGAAAAGCTTTAACGTACCCTTTGCTGTAAACCCTATACGTTAGATAAGACTGCATCTTAAGTAAACTGGCTAGATAGTTTCGCCTGAACAACCATATCATATCAAAATGTTTGTTTTCCTATTAATTTCAGAGGTATGCTATCAAGAATATACGTAAATAATAATTTGACTGTAGGTTCGAGCAAATCTTCGAAACTGCTGAACCGATTGTAAGAGCACTTTACGAACAAATATAGAGGAGATAATAGGAGTAATCTATAAAACTGCTAAAACAAATGGTTTCAATGAATATCTCATAAGGTTTTTACATGGTAGAGCGACGCTGCAGTTATATTATGGTTGTAACACGATTGGGTCGGCTCGACCCGGGTAGAACCACGCTCTCACAGAATACCAGCGTAAAATAGTTACTGTTTCGTATGGTAAGTGTAAAGAACCGGATAACCCTTTTTAATAGAAATGAGGCCTTCCGTATCAGCGTTTAGGGGTAACAACACATTTTCATTTTGTCTCTTAATTAAGGATAAATATAAATGTATGTGTGCCACAACATCCACTCACCATCCAGTGGACTGTGTGCTCGTTTGTCGCCATTTTTACATATAAAAGTTTTCGTTGTGAAGTTTAAATAATTGTAAAAATATAACTGTTTAAAATAAAATAACTTATATAGTAGACGAAATGATGATGTCCATGGCCATGATCGTCTCATGATGTCCCTGGTGGCTTGAGATGTTGTTTGATGAGTATGCGTGAACCGTAGTCTTGCGAAACATCTATAGCAACAATTTCAGCAAAACATCATCATCATCATCATTACAGCCCTTCATAAGTCCACTGCTGAACATAGGCCTCCCCCAAGCTATGCCATAAAGCACGGTCCTGAGCCACCTGCATCCATCGACTTC